TCTTCTTTAAATTTTCAAACTGTGTCTGTTAAACGAAGGCAAAATCAAGATGCAAACAAAAGCAGCATTTTTTTTTCATCAACAAACAGCACTAAGAGAAATAACCATGAAAGCAATTAAGAAAGACCAGAGATGAAAGCGGCATGAGAGGAGAGAGGAAGGGACAAAGGCGTCGGAAAGGGTGGCCGTCACAACAACACAAGGAATGCAGAATCCTGCAAGATTCAAATGGTGGACAGCAAGGCACAGAAGCAGAACACACGGCAGGGCTAGAGGAAGCGATTACAATTACATATTGTAAGTGATTCAGTTGGGCCAGGAGAGGTGTGCAGGCCTGTAACCCCAACACTTATGCTGCAGAAGCAAAAGGACCAGGAATTTGGGCCATGGAGATGGCTCAGCGGGTAAGGCAGCGGGGCTGTGGCCAGACCTCAGAGCCTGAGTTACAGTGTGGAAATCCATACGGTGGAATGAGGGAATTAACTCCCACAAGTTGTCTTCTGACCTAGACATGTACACACACACACACACACACACACACACACACACACACACACACACGAAAGCACATGCACATACTGCACACATATGCACAGGCACACAAACGATAATAAGATAATTTTTTAAAATACAAAGAACAGTCCAGCCTCAGCTACATAGTTTTCAAGGCCACAGCATTTGTTGCTCTTCTGGAGGACCCAGGTTGGATTCCCAGCACCCACATGATGGCTCACAACCCCGGTTCCAGAGGATCTGATGCCCCTCTTCTGACCTTCTTGGGTACCATGCATGTCTATGGGGCAAAGACTTCATTCAGGCAAAACATTCACACATGAAATAAACAACTCTAATAAAACTCTTAAATCAATCAACAGAAAAAAATGTTAATCAGTCAGTAGATTCCACTGAAGAGTAAGGTCTAATAATCGTGTTTGTACATAATTAATGATATTGTCACAAAATACATAAACTAAAGAGCAATAAAATATAAAGAAGAAACAGAGGATTCTATACCCCCAGGTGGAAACTTATCCCACGATTTAACTCAGGCTGTGAAGCCTGGCAATAGACCTCCTTCTCCGCTGAGCCATCTTGATGGCCCAAATTCCTGATCCTCTTGCTCCTACATCTGCTGTGACAAACAGCTGGCAGAAGCAGTGTAAAACTGATTTGGGCTCATGGTTTCAGGGTTCAGTCCATCATGGCAGGGAAGGCAGGGAAACCTCATCTCCTAAAGCTCTGCCCCTAGTACCACCACCAGCTGAGGATCGGGTGTGCAAACACATGAGCCTGTGAGGAAAATCTCAGATTCGAACCACATCAATGTTTCTCCATAAATTAAAAAGCACACAGGAAAATAAAGGACATTAAAAAAAATGTAAGGGAGAGAAAATAGGAAGGACAATGGCATGTGGCAAATATAGAACCATGCATCGCTATGCCAAGCATTTCTGCTCTGATTAATGTGCAGCGTATGACTCATGCAATCCTCAAAGATATGCCCAAGAATATTCTTTCGGGCCAGACCATGATAGCGCACACCTTTAACCCCATTATTCTGGAGGTAGAGGCAGACAGAACTCTGTGAGTTTATAAAAGTGAGTTCCAGGAAAACCAGGACTGATACACAGAGAAACCCTGTCTCAAGGTGAAGGGAAAAAAAAAAAGAATATTCTTTAAAATACTATTTGTAGGACTGGAGAGATGGCTTAGAAATTAAAGCACTTGCAGAGGACCTGGGTTCAATCCCCAGAGCCACATGGCAGCTCACATCATCTGGAACTCCAGTCCCAGGTGGTCTGATACCCTCTCTGGCTTTCTCAGGGACTGCATTGCATGTGGTATACTTACATACTTGCAGGTAAAATACCCATGCACATAAAAATAAATAGCTCTTTAAGAAAGAGAAAATAAAAATAGAATATTATTTGCAAACAAAAGCTGAAATAAGCAGCTAGGCTGTGGTGTACACCTTTAATCCCAGCAGTCAGAGAAGGCAGAGGCATGCAGATCTCTGTAAGTTCAAGGGCAGCCTGTTTCACAGAGCTAATTCCAGGACAGCCAGGGCTACACAAGGAAATAAGCAAAACAAGAACCAAAACAAGCAATTTTAGATTCTTAGAAACAAGCCAAGTGACCATCAATGAAAGGAAGACTGAGAAATGAAATTTAATGACATACAAAGTAATATATGATGTTTGTGGATGTATAAAGTATGGGTGTGACAGACTGATCCAATATGAAAGTTACCAGTAACAAGTAAGAAAAGGAATGCAATGGAGAAGAGCCACGTACACTGGATTTGTGACCAATTACAGTACGTGTGTAATTCTTCATAAGCTCAGTGGTAGAATACCGGCATTTTTCTTCATATGTCTATATGCCTGAAATTTAAATTTTAATGTCATAAAATACATTATTGATGTGCTGCTTCAGCCTGACATTCATGCTTCTCTACAATATTATGTCAATGTACTTTCCTAGTGTCACTCATCCTGCGCTATTTCCTAGTACAATGTTTCCTAAGCCACAGACATTCACACATGGCCTGCCTTCCCTGCTTTTCTGTGTATGTTTCCTCTAGTGTGATTAATGAACACTTCTCTTTCATCATTCATACAATTTTGTAAAATAAATTAAAATGGGAAATCATGTGGTTACTATACCCACCGTGCTTTCTAATAGGAAGAGAAATAAATACATGCATTACATGTTTGTCTTTCGTGATGCCTGAAAATATCAAGCATCACTCCCCTGGTTAACTCACAAGTAGTTCTCCTGGTGTTAAAAAAAAAAAAAAAAAAAAAAAAAAAAATGCTTAGTTAGAAACTGAAATCTCCAGACCACAACCTTTGGGGTTCTGGCTCAAGTGTTAAGGGGACAGAAATGCTGTCCTTTATGTACTCCAGCAGACTCCTCTCTGGTATGCACCATAGTGCGGCTCCTCTTGGCCCTTCCCTCTTTCCTTGGCTCTCCCCTCTCACCAAGCAATGGAAATTATGCGTACACTTTCACTTTCGGGCTCAGCTTAAATATCACCGTCACAATAAAATACTTTGACTTGGATGTGCCATCTCCCTGGGTTCAACTTGCTTCCTTCTTCATCAATTTATTTCTAGTTTCATATGGACGCTTATCATATTCAACGTAATATATGTCTGCTTGTCGTGTGCCCGCTCCTTAAGCATAAATGTTACTTGAGGCTAGAAACGTTATGTCTTATTCAAAGCAGGAATTCTATCCTGGGCGCTTTATGCTTTGTATATAGCAGTTACATACATACCTGACAGAATGAACCCCATCCAATAATTAGCTTAATAATCTTTATTAACATTTTTCAATCACACAGCATAAGACATTACAAATTCAACGTGACACACTAGACTGCCTAGATCATTTTCAAAATGAGAAAACAGAAAATAAATCCAATTAGAAAAGAAGCATAGAAAATATGGAAAATAATTAGGTTGACTAAAAATGCCAAATTCTGGTCTGGATGTGTGTGTGCTTAACTTTAGAACTACCCGAGCAAAAGCAGTTGACAAAGTGATACCTTGACACTACTCAAAAGCAGTATCTAAGAAAGCAGTGAACTTGCTCTTACAAATTCTCCAGAAGATACTGAGCATCGTTTCCCTTTGCCTTAACACTGCACACTGCTCTGATATATCAGCAACAACTCTAATTGCTTTTCCGGTGAAGAAAACCACAATAACTATTTTTAATCAGAAAGATCGATACATAACTCCTCTGTAAATGCTTCGTTTTGCCACAGGAGTACACTGTGCTCCTGTCTCAAACACACTTATTCTGATCCAAACAGAAAGTAAGCTGATGAAATCAGAGAGATACACCTCTATGTGGGACATGGTCACCTATATCAGCATCTGTCACTGGATTGCCTGGGTTTATATACTTTTAGCACATGCATGGTATCTTACAGAGACAAAGGGTTATCAAACCAGAATATTCTCTTGTCAGTCATGCTCTCAATGAAGAAAGCAAAGGGAATGCCATGCCCTGCTCTGATCACTGGCCTTCCTGCTTCCCGGGGGAATGAGGAGGCGAAGACTGCAGGCAGGGCAGAGCTTTTGAAGGTCTCACGGAGCTCACTTTCTCCTTGCTCATTTTTCTGTCACATTCCTGTTAAGTTTCCTGTTCTTCTTGGCAAGTCAAGTACACTAAAATTCTTATTTAAGGCTTTGTACTTAATAGGTTCATTCTGTCTTTACACTGTTGAAGTAAAATGTTACCCTACTACAGTCTACTTGCCTGAGTAATGTCTAAAATCCCTGTTACATCTGAGCATGCATTCTAAGTGCCTCTTGGTGAGTCCAGTGAGGTTCTGAGTGACCACAGGAGGACAGTCTATGTGACCACTGATAATGACACCCCTCCAGTTACTCTGGCTTCTTGGGCAGCTAACCTTTTTTCTTTCCTAAAGTAGTAAACACGGGAGGCATAAAGCTCTGTATGTTTCGACAGTACTCACGCACCAAAAACATGCACCAGTTTAAAAGTAAAAGGTAACTGAGTAACTACTTCAAAGAGCCATTAAGTAGAACAGACCAGACATGACAGTTATTAAAAGGTAACAACACACTTCGTTTGATAAAGTAGTTCCAAGTGACGCAAAAATACCATTTCTCTTTAAAAATAAATAAATAAAGGAAGCACTTGGACTAAAAAGAAATGAAATTTGACTTGATCAAATACTTCATTAATTTCTTCTTCTACCCCTAAGGGAGTGCCCTTTAAAATCCTCTTCAAATAGGATGTAACCTAATTGCTCGCCCAGGGCCAGGGTTGGCAGGATTTTTATATCAACATTGCCACCTAGTGGACAACACTTTCTCAACTCATCACTGGAACCTTGTCTCAAATGCTGGCTCCCCAAAGTTAGTAACTTTCAAAGTGGAATTCTACAAACATGTAACAGTTCACACATTTATTGTTATAGAATGTAAATCATTATATATACCATGCTTTAAATACAGTACCTTAGTGATTTCTTCAGACACTCGTTCGAAGTCCTGGACGTTTCGACAGTAAAATCCTATCGTACAACTAGGATCCATTTTCCTGAATGACATCTTTTTAGGAGAAGGACAGTGGAATGTCTGTAATTTTTAGAATAATTTGGAATTAGTTTACCCTTAAATGATGGACCAAAGTAAATACTTTTTCTCAAAACTATACATACATATTCTAAGGAACATTTCAGCCCTTCCCATTCTCTTTAAGGACATAAAACCCAAGCAGGATTGTGTACATTTAATCAAACCTTTACCCTATGTGACTTATGTTGTTGATCAAGCATAAACAAAGCCATATGGAATGCATTTCTAACACTTGGAGAAATGAAGAAACAGATGGCCAGAGTTGACATGTGTAGTCTAGTCTAGAACCCTGTTAGCCAGCCATCTTTGTGAGACCAAGTTAAATCCTTCTTATTACAGATGCTTCATTGCTTGTAAAAAATATTCATAGCAGTTTTATTCATACAGCCAAAGCTAAAAATGAACTAAATATCCATAAAGAGGGACTGAATTAAACTTTTTATGTCCAGGGCTAGATAGGTGGCTTGGTAGTTGTGAACATTAACACTGTTGCAGGGGACCCAGCACCCACATGGTGCCTCACAACTGCCTGTCACTCCAGGGCCAAGGGATCCGATGCCCCCTTCTGGCCTCCATGGGCACTGTACACCTGATGCACATTCTCCTATGCCTAAACAAGTCTTTTTAAAAATGTAAAAGCAATTTATGGTCATGCCACAGTTATTTGGAATTAAAGTGGAGCAAATACCTTGCTGTGGACATGGATGAATGGTTTCTTTCTAATGCTTAAAACTGCTTTGTTATTCTTATAATTCAACACACCGACTCGTACAAACTTCCCATATGAAATAGTCAACTTCAGAGTTTTTGTCTGATTTTGTTGCTCCTGTTGTCTTACTCCTTTAGTTCTTGAGGCAGGCTCTCCCTGTGCAACCCTGGCTGCCTGGCAAATTGGCTACGCAGACCAAGCTGGCCTCCAACTCATGGGAACCCACTTGGCTCTGGCTTCTAAGTGTAAAATTATTGGAGCATAATTGAATATTCTTCCAATTCTCTTTTCTACTGTTTTATATTCTTGTTCGTTCCCATAAAGAACACAAGAGGCAGGTGGGACAACTATTTTAAAGAGGTTAAAAACAGATCTGGAAGACAGGAAAGCTAAGTAAACTGTTAGCTGCAGTACGGAGGAGTGTGTAGGGGTACCAAGGCACAGTTCTAGTTCATATTTATGAGACGGTATTTTGTATACAATATGTCTAAAAATAGTCACTTGCCCACTTCGCTGAAAACCAGTGACAAGAACGGTTTCTTACTACCTAATAAGGAAGACAGTCAGAATGTCTGTACAAGGTGCAATGATACATGTTTAACCTGTCTGTGAATGTGTTCTCCTCTGCACAAAGCAGTGACTGAAGCTTTCCTAGCATCAGTAACTACAACAGTACGTGCCTGAGCCACCACAAGCACCACCACAGATGCTAAACTGAACTTGCAGTTATCCTGATATCTACAAGGGACTTTCTAATCACCCACAAAGCACAGATACAGACCTCTGATTTCACCCCAAAGTGAAGCTGCTGTCGCTGTCACTGGATGAGGACCAGCACTCAGCAAAGCACTTTAGACCAGTCTCTAAGCTGAAGATTCTGAAGTTGAAACATTAAATTCTGCATCATTTTTACTTATTCTAAAATAAGCTCACCTTTTAAATGTTTTCTGAAGTTTTGTTGCTAGGCCATGTTCATTTTGTGATTAGCCTTTAAGCTATGCATGTATGATTTAATTTTAAAATTCTGGTGTCTAGTACTAGAAGCCTCTGCTTCATATACATAGGGAAATAGTAACTACAGATACTTTCTTCTATGACAAAGAAATATATTTCCAGGGGTGATGGAGGATATCCTTCTGTATTCTGTGATTATATGTTTCTCTTATTGTTTGATTACTAAGCTGTTTTGGCCAAAGGACAGGCTGGATTTACCCAATCAGGAAATCCAAACAGGGATAGAGGAAGGTAGTGGGCAGAGTCAAGGAGACGCCATGTAGCTGCCAAGGAAGCAAGAGGTCCAGTCATCACTGGTAAGCTAAGACTACATGGAGATACACAGATTAATAGAAATGGATTCATAACTAAGAGAGAGCTACCAGCAAGAAGCCTGAGCCATCAGCCGGATAGTTTATAGTTAATATAAGCCTCTGTGTGTTTATTTGGAACTAAATGGCTGTAGGACTGGGCAGGATAGAAACTGCATCTATACAGGAGGAAAAAAAAAAAAAGAGTCAACTCCTATTTATTTCATTTTTTTAGTACACCATTTATTCACTGCCTGAACAAATAATTATTAGGAACCTATTAAGTGCAGACATGGTTAGATGTTTAATTATGAAATTCATTTCCTAAAGGAGATACTGTGGGTTCATACTCTTTATATAGATATGTTTAGAATGGTAATTACTGGGCATAATGGATTTTATTACCTAAACATATAAACAATGCCATAACATGCGTTTTCAGGTATGCTTACACTATTCTGGAGTTTGAGCTGAAGCTTCCTGCATGTTTAAGAACAAGCTTGATAACTCCACTGCACAGGTGACAGTCATAGAGAGTACCCTTCCCTGACAAACTCACTCACTCCCTTGTGCATTTGTCCAAAAACTTCAGTACCACTGTTTTTCTTAATTTATTAATGGTGACTGAAACAGTTACTTCTGTATGGTCCTTCTAGGGTCTGAAATTTGGAATTGGGGGCCTAGGAATTGGGACAGATTCACATGCCCAGTACCAGGGCTTTCCTTGCCTTTAAGAACTTAGTATTTGCCAGGAATGTTGGCACATGCCTCTAATCCCAGCACTTGGCAAACAGTGAATCTCTGAGTTCGAGGCCAGCCTGGTCTACAAAGTGAGTTTTAGGCCAGCCATAGCTATACAGTGAGATTTCATCTCACAAAATAAATAAAAATAAAATAAAGACAGTATTTTTATTTTTCCAGTATTATTCTGGAAGTATATGAAAACAATAAGGATTCATAATATCTAATTTAAGAAACTTTAATTCATTAATTTTATATAAATATATAAATTATATAACATATAATTTATAATATATAAATTATATAAATATATAAAACCTTGATGAAGACGACCCAAGACAAAAAGACTCTCTTCCCTCATGTAGAATTCTACTCAATCACATGTGCTAAATCAACAACAATCTATCTATCCCAACACATTCATGAGATAATATCACAACGATGAATATTATATAACACATAACAAAAGTGTTTGGAGAAACATGGAGGCGCTCAAGAGAGGCCTACAGAGTTTCATCTAGAAAACTCAATAAATGACTGTTGAGAAAGAAGTTCGCCTAATTTAATTTCAAAATGTTAAAAGTTCAACTCTAAAAACATAAAAAGTCAACATGTAATAATAGCAAAGGATATATTTAAATATCTTCTTTAATCTTAATGTGCAGATATTCTACTTAAAATTTCACAATCCTGTTAGTCTTAGATCACTCATTTAAAAATCTCAGGACTGCAAGTAATTATTTACACAGAGTTAGAGAAAAAGGCTAACAATTCTAATTTCTACAGAAGTGATTTTAACAAAGTCTGAGAGGCTTTAGATATGCATGTTATCCTCTGTCTGCACAAAGTTCCAGGACCATATACACGAGCCATCAAAGCAAGGATGCTTGGGAATGCAAGGCACTTTAAAATCCTCACTTGATATGACAAAAGCTGAAAATGAAATTTTAGGGTTGGAGATTTAGGTCAGTGGTAGAGCTCTTGCCTAGTAATGGTGAGGCCTTAGCCATCCTAAGCCCTACTGCCCAGCAAACTGCCTAAGATTTATTATCATTCACATACAAGTCTATGAAAAGAGGAAAACAGCTAAGGTATTAATTTACAAAAGAGGCCAGGTTGTTTAACAATACTTTTTTCTAAACTAGACTTTTTTTTATATCTACCCCTTTGAATACCGTTAAGTATTAATATTAGCTCAAAAGGCATTTCTGAAACACAACATATAACAAATTTCTCACTAACCCTGTTGTTTACAATCAGTGCCCTTCATGATCAAATCATTCTAATCTGTGAAAGCATCAACTAGGGAAAACTAAGTAAAATGATATAATAGTTATCCATCTCACTTGGGAACTCAAACTTTTCTGACTTAAAATATTGGATAACAACAGGGAAAGCAGAATCTATAAATGAGCTTCAACAGTTGCTAGAGATCCGAACGGGCACTGAGAATGTAAACTGGTGGGAGGGTAGTGGGGAGGCTTCGACAGCAGGGGAGATCTCACCAAACCAAACGCTTTTCTTTGGGAAATGGTCCTTTTGTCTCCTCTCCTACCAGGACAAGCATAAAACTATAAATTTCTCTGTGCATGCACTGCTTAGCCATCTGGCTACAAAAATACTCAGAGACTTGATCACTTATTTCAGTACAATCAAGGTACCCAACATATCAGAGATGGACGTGAGTGAAGAGGACAGTAAATCACAGATTAAAATTCAGCAGCCAAGCACTCAGCCTTGGGCTGGAGCTGACTGTGGCTTCATGAACCAGCAAAATCTTGCCTGTGACTGACAGTAGGAAGGCATGGCTCCCCGGCACAACTCTAAATACCAGCCTGCTTCACATGGGAAGAAAACAATAGCAAGTCTCCATGTACAGTACCTCAAGAGGGAAGTCCTTTATGCTGACATCTACAAAAGACTGGCAGTAATGAGGATCCATGTAAATCAGACTGTCATCTACAAGGACAAAACAGAAGACAAGTAATTCAAAACACCTTCTTATGACACTGCTTACAATCCAATTTCTATGGATAGCAGCTGAAAAAAGTCTGGGTGTAACGGCCTGCCAGCCTGGGACTCGCTGACAGAAACACGGTCTGCAAGGCATAGATTAACTTTGCATAATCAAATATGCTTGTATAAGCAGAATTTTATAAAGCGATGAGACTGTCATTTAATTTTTGGTGATAAAATTACTTTCACAAACACACAATTATATTCTACAGTTTGCATATGAAAAATGCATCGTCTTCTTTGTTCTGACAGCAAGAACATATTGCTTGTCATTTCATCATCAACTAACACCACTAAAAAAAAAAATGGCAAAAAGTAAATATGTAAATAGCAACTGACAGAATGTGGCAGCGGTATCTTCTGGAACTCGGGGAGACCAATAAATTATGCTTTGTTTATGCAGTAACAGAAATTAACCACACATTTTTAAGGAATCCGATTACGTTGTGGACCAAATGACAGGTGAGCAGCTGAGGGAGGACTGACAGCCATATGAGGTCCTCGCTGGGCTCTGTTAACCATCTTGTTTCCAGCCATTCTCATATTAACTTTCCACTTTTAAAAGAAAACAACAAAGAAATACCATGCTTAGTCACTAACCTTGAAATCCAGCAAAGTAATACGACTGTTTAGGTTTGCCACCGATAATACCTACACAATATTCAAGGCTTAAAACACCCTGTCAGAGGAAATGAATAGATTTAGATCAGGTGACAAGTGATGACGATCTAAAACAGTCTGTACTGTTGATTTTAGAAGCACCCCAACTCCCACCAACAATGACTACGTTTTTACATTTGCTCTGTGTCCTGGGATCCTTGTCTTCCAAACTGTCTCCCTTTTTCCTTAAACCATTCAGTATTAATTCACAGCATGTTACTCAACAATGCAAACAGGCCACAGTGTGCCACAGAGAAAATAAATGACATCACAAAGCAAAAATGTCCTCAAAAGCAGTGCACTAGTTCTTCTCTTAATGAGAGCGCTCTCTTCCATCTAGAGCCATGGTTCTCAACTTGTGGGTTGAGAGCCCTTTGGGAATCAAATGACCCTTTCCCCTTCACCTAAGATCATCCTGCATATCAGATATTTACATTACAGCTATAACAGTAGCAAAATTACAGTTATGGAGTAGCAATGAAATAATTTTATGGTTGGGGGTCACCACAACATGAAGAACTGTATTAAAGGGTCACAGCATTAGGAAGGTTTGAGAACCTGTGATCTAGAGGATTGAAAAAACCTCAGGCAGCTCCCTCCTTAACACTGTCCAGCTCACAACTTTATTACAATGGAAAAGCTGTTATACATTCATCAGAAACCATTCTTGGAGGTGAATGCAGTGTTATATACATATAATCCTAGTAGTCAACAGGCTGAGGCAGGATTTGCAGTTAGTTCAAAGCTAGCCTGGGCTACAACGCAAAACTTCCGTCTCCAACAACAACAACAGCAAACAAACAACAACATAATTTGGATCTTGGCTTTGATCTTTCCTGAGCTAATAGTATAAAATGTGGCATTATCTTTTGAGGCCAAGCAGTGGCAGTGAGTGACCTACAGCTTCCCACCAGCCAAGCATGCACGAGGGTAAACAATAGACAGTCTATCAGTATGAAGCTCTGTCCTCTGAGCATGGCACAGCCTTGCGGACCAGCTGCAATCACTCAGACACCATCCTCATGAGCTCTGATTTACACTCCTAGCAAAAGGCAGAGGGAAGGTCAGCAGACACTTGCTTGAGAGTCCAGCGGCTTAATCCCTCCTGTCCCTTCCAGACCGGACTCCCAGATGTTAGGGGCACAGGGGGTCAAAGGCTGACTGGATGTACTCTGGTAGCACAGATTAAATAAGTCATCGTGCATGCCAGGGTAAGGATCTGCAATAACAAAGCTGCCCAACTCACCATGCTTCTGTAAGGAACCCAAGTAACCTTGTCCCTTCACCACACTGCACGTAGATGTCTTTGGTCTGCGGATGTCCTGTCTGGGAAAAGTGTGTGACTGCTGCTAAAGCTATAATGCCTGACTGGTATTAGGCTTGGGGACACTGCTATACCTGGAAACTCTGGGGCCCCTGAGCCACTGCCTCGTTGTATGTACAACGTTGGTATGGCCAGGCGGCCAGGGCAATGCTGGAGGCTGTGCATCCCCATGGGATCAGCGTCCACACACACCATCCAGGGGACTCTGGCAGAGCTGGGATGAGGCATTCCCACTGAAAGAGGAGCCGGAGCTTCTGCCCGACTTTCGACCTGGATAAACCGTGGACACTGGTCAGTGAGCAGACACGGGTCAACACTACAAAACACAAGAAGGAGCCACTCCCATTGCTGATGTGGTGTGATGGGGCTCTCACAAAGGTCTGGGGAAGGAGAAGCTCTCTGGCAGCCCAGCATCGTGAAGACCAAATTCTTCAGCAGAGAACTGAGGAGGCTAAGGGTGTTGGAGGTGCCTGTATCCCGGCACATTTCCCAGGTGTTCTGGGTGTAGGTTCTTTGGTGACATTTCTACACGCTCTTGTCTGTACGTTGGGAACCTGCCTAACAGGACCTGAGAAGATGTGAGGAATGCACTCTGTTGCTAACAGTCACAGTATGTGTGGTATGTAGGTAGACGTATGCCACTCACAATCTCAAACACTTAGAATGTGTATATATACACATTGGATCCCACAAAGCAGCTGCAGATTCATAGGCCCCTACATGTATACTATGAGTCTTGATATTTGAAGCACTGATGATAACATCATTACTTTCAGCCCCAAATGTAACTCATAAATAAAATAAACCCTGAAGGTCAGAAAAAAAATTTCAAAGTGTATTTTGAACCAAATATACATTGCAATGGTTTTAACCAGACCGCTGAGATTGCAAACCAAGGACACCGGTTAGAATGGTTAATCCCAATTGTTGTCCTGGTTGGGTTTTATTTGTTTGTTGTTTTGGTTTGGTTGGTTGGTTGGGTTTTTGTTTGTTTGTTTGTTTTGTTTTGTTGTCAATTTTCAAGAAAGCTAGAAAAGTTTTTTGGAAATGGAACCTCAATTAAGAAAGTGCCTCCATCAGGTTCCCTATAGGCAAGTCTGTGGACATTTTCTTGATTAATGACTGATGTGGGACCTTCCGGTCCACTGTGGGAGGTGCCACCTCTGGGTAGGTGGTCCTGTGTGGTATAAGAGAGCAGGCTGAACAAGCCAGTAAGCAGATTATTTTATGCCCTCTGCATCAGCTCCTGCCTCCAGATTCCTGCCTTGAGTTCCTGACTTTGCTGCCCTCAATGGACTATGACACAGGATATATGTCAAATAAACCCTTTCCTCCCCAAGCTGCTTTTGGTCAGGGTGTTTCACAACAGCTACAACAACCCTAAGATGACTGTCAACTCGACAGAACTTAAATCACCTAGGAGACACAGCTCTGGGCACCTGTGAGGCATCTCCAGAGAGGCTTACCTGAGGTGGGCAGTGCCATCCTAAGGGTTGGGGACCTGGGCTGACTAAAGAGGACAGACCGCAAGGAGAGTGCAAACTCTCATCTCTCTCCACCTCCTCGACTCCTAACAAGCCACCTCACACTCCGGCCACCGTGCCTTTCCTGCCAGGGTAAGCACTGAGGCAGGTAACTAACTCATGTGCATCGACATGTTCTTTTCCCCTTAGCAAGTTAACCAAATCAGAGAAGGTGTTTTCTAGTTTAATTTAGGTTCTTAAAAATAATACGTGGTCACTGAAGAGAAAAAAAAAAATGAACTCAAAACCCAAAGAAATAAAATACCCAAAGACTATTTCTAATGCTTTTTTTTTTTTTTTTTTCATTTTTGAGACAGTATCTCATGCTATCTAGAACAGCCCCAAGCTTACTGTGTAGTTGAGGATAACCCTGAACTAAACTCCCACAGGCTGGTATTATAGGAGTGTACCACCACATCTAACTTAGAGCTCATTATTACTGAAATTTGGGAGAATATCTCCTTGACATCTGACAATATCACATATACAGGTTACTAGCACAATTTTATTTGTGGCCAAACACTGTATATGCTACTCTTTCCTTCTTTTGGATTTAAAACAAAACAAAACAAACAAACAAAAAACTGTGTGTGTGTGTGTATGTGTGTGTGTGTGTAAGTTTATGGTATACTATATGGCTGTAAGTTCCTACAAAAACTAGAGGGCAATGGACCCCATGGGGCTGGAGTTACAGGCAGTTGTGAGTTACCTAATGTAGGTGCTGAGAACTGAACCTTGGCCCTCTGCAGCAACAGCAAGTGTTCTTAACCACTGAACCATCTCTCCAGCCACACGCTACTGTATCTTTTTGGCACTCTTTTTTGCCATGAACATTTTTTCATATCAGTAAAATACATATATCACATTGATAACTAAAGGTTGTATTCTATGCTCATAAACCCTCATGAATATCTGAAGTGTCCTAGGTTCTTCATGTTATAAATAATTCCTTTGCTACAATTCAAATGTTTTATTTCCTCTAAAATTCACATGCTAGAAACTTAGTTCACAACAAAACAATGATAAGAGGGGAGACCTTTGGGGGGCATGCGGTTAATGATGGCTCCACCCTTCTGAGTAGATTAACAGTGCTCTAAAATGGGCCTGGGGGAACAGGGACCTCTATCTTGCTCTTCTATAGGAGACCCTTCAGCAGCAGCCAGCCCCTTCATCCTGAATGAGCATCATCCATAGTATAAGACAATGGATCTCTATTCTTTACAAATCGTCCAATCTTGAGTATTTTATTATGGGAGCACAAAGCAGACTAAACCAGCCTCAGGAGGACAAGCTTGTGGGGCTGGAGCAATGGCTCAGTGGTTAGGGGCATTTGCTGCTCTTGCAGAGGACCCAGGTACATTTCCCAGCACCCATGTAGCTTATAACTGTCTGTAACTCCAATTCCAGAGGATCTGCCACCCTCCTTGGGCAACACACACACATACATTGCATATATACACACACAGAAAAACATATGTACAGATAAAAACAGAAATAATTAAGTCCTTAAAAAGAAAGCCTTAAGTAATTACAATCTTGCAAAAATATCAGAGGTGGTTTATTAAGAAAAGCAGCAACTGATAAATAAAACAAACATTAAGATCTTCATTAACCTTAGCTGCCCTGAACCAACTAACAAATACAAATAATGTTTACCCTATAAAAAACAAGCATCTAACAGTAATGGGGGTTTCTGAACAGTAAGGTTTCTATTCCTTTCTCTTTAAATAAAAACTTAGTTTCACAAGGCCACCTAATCAGCTGAAGGAGATGCTTATGTCCCTGCGACAAATGAAGAAGTAAAAGTCTGAAGTCTCACATAGCTGAGAAGAGAAAGAGATCTGTATATGCCAAGAATCATTACCCACTCTTCTCAGAAAAAGAATGTGTGGCCAAATATAGAAGAGATGCAGTGCTGGCATCAGTATTTCCTCCACCACGGACCCCACGATAGACACCTAGAAACTGGGAGCTGGAGGGCCACCATGTCTAAGGGGATGTATCTTTAGGAACGTCGAACACCATTCATCTCCATGTTAGCTGGTGTGAGTACTTCCTGAGTTGCCCCCCCAGAAAGCAATCAGGAAAACTGAAGCTAACCCATCAAAAAGCAGAGTTCTAAATGTGTCTTGTGGAAGAAAGAACTTTGAGCTCACGTCATCTCAACTCCTC